TCGTGTTTGGAGGACAAAGAATGCTGAGTTGCATCCAAAGAACACCATACCTACTGTGAAGCATGGGGGTGGAAACATCATGCTTTGGGGCTGTTTTTCTGCAAAGGGACCAGGACGACTGATCCGTGTAAAGGAAAGAATGAATGGGGCCATATATCGTGAGATTTTGAGTGAAAACCTCCTTCCATCAGCAAGGGCATTGAAGATGAAACGTGGCTGGGTCTTTCAGCATGACAATGATCCCAAACACACCACCCAGGCAACGAAGGAGTGGCTTCGTAAGAAGCATTTCAAGGTCCTGGAGTGGCTTAGCCAGTCTCCAGATCTCAACCCCATAGAAAATCTTTGGAGGGAGTTGAAAGTCTGTGTTGCCCAGCGACAGCCCCAAAACATCGCTGCTCTAGAGGAGATCTGCATGGAGGAATTGGACAAAATACCAGCAACAGTGTGTGAAACCTTGTGAAGACTTACAGAAAACGTTTGACCTGTGTCATTGCCAACAAAGGGTATTTAACAAAGTATTGAGAAACTTTTGTTATTGACCAAATACTTATTTTCCACCATAATTTGCAAATAAATTCATAAAAAATCCTACAATGTGATTTTCTGGATTTTCTTTTCTCAATTTGTCTGTCATAGTTGACGTGTACCTATGATGAAAATTACAGGCCTCTCTCATCTTTTTAAGTGGGAGAACTTGCACAATTGGTGGCTGACTAAATACTTTTTTCCCCCACTGTATATGGACAAGTAATGACAGAGCGGCATGGACTAAGACACAGTAGAATATTATAGAATACAGTATATACATATGAGATGTGTAGTGCAAGATATGTAAACATTATTAAAGTGACTAGTGTTCCATTTCTTAAAGTGGCCAGTGATTTCAATAGGCAGCAGCAGCCTCTAATGTGCTAGTGATGGCTATTTAACAGTCTGATGGCCTTGAGATATAAGCTGTTTTTCATTCTCTTGGTCCCAGCTTTGATGCACCTGTACTGACCTCGCCTTCTGGATGATAGCGGGGTGAACAGACAGTGGCTCGGGTGGTTGATGTCCTCACCTCCATATGTATTTGGACAGTGAAGCAAACATTTTAAAATGTGGCTCTGTAATCAATAACATTTTTGATTTGAGATCAAATGTTTCATATGAGGTGACAGTACAGAATGTTACCTTTTATTTTAGTGTATTTTCATACATATGTTTTACCGTTTCTAAATTAAAGCACTTTATGTACCTAGTCCCCCCTCCATTTGAAGAAGTCATAAGTATTTGGAAAAATGCACTTATAGTGTATTAGAGTAGTCAAACATTCAATGACTACATCAAGCTAAAAACTAGTTGGATGCATTTGCAATTTGTTTTGATTGTGTTTCGAATTTCCCACAGGGCTACTGGCCTGGGACTTCCCTTAAAGTACTGTCAACCACTCCACAACCAGCAGGTCACATCAGGTCAGACATTATATACTAGCAATACTTTCAGTAGGTTACCATCCCTCTAATACTATTGTACCATACTTCCCTTGTTTCCCCATGCAACCATCACAGCCTCTATGGACACAAAACCTGGTAGATAGAGATATATCAGCACACTACACCAACACTACATTCAGCCTCCTGACAAAATTATGGAATAATTGTGTTCTCTATGTGGTTGCATTTAAGTCTCCACCAAGGTCATCTTTTGAGAGAACTAATCTCAAACTTTATTTGGATAGTCTAGATGTTCCATCTTTAGATGCGCTAGATGGTTATACTATAAACAAACTATCTGTGGATAAGCAACTACTTGCTAAGGTTACGGTTAGGTTTAGAATAAAGATTAGGGTAAGGGTTAACGTTAGAGCTAGTAGATAGTTAGTTGAAATGTTACTGACAGTCTGTAGAGCATCTACAGATGGACTATCTAAATAGTGTTACCAAATAATCACTTGCGGGTGTCCAGAATGATGACTTAATCACATAAATTAATAATTTATAGCTTGTACTTTGGACACCAATTCAAAGTCACAATGAGGAGGACACATGGTGACTGCTGGCTAACAGGCCGGCTGCACTGCACAGCACGAGTAGCTAGTGCAATTTGTTATTTATTTTTTATTTAACCTTTATTTAACCAGGTAGGCCAGTTGAGAACAAGTTCTCATTTACAACTGCGACCTGGCCAAGATAAAGCAAAACAGTGCGATAAAAAAACAAAAAAAACAACAGAGTTACACATGGGATAAACAAAACATACAGTCAATAATACAATAGAAAATCTATATACAGTGTGTGCAAATGTAGTAAGTTATGGAGGTAAGGCCATTGTGCAAAATAATTATAATTTAGTATTAACACTGAAGTGATAGATGTGCAGAAGATTATGTGCAAATAGAGATACTGGGGTGCAAATGAGCAAAATAAATAACAATATTGGGATGAGGTAGTTGGGTGGGCTAATTACAGATGGGCTGTGTACAGGTGCAGTGATCGGTAAGCTGCTCTGACAACTGATGCTTAAAGTTGGCAAGCAGCTCAGTCTAAAGCATGTCTCTTTCTAAAGAGTAATGTAAACATGCAGCAATGGAGGCCCTGGAGACAAACCTAAGCAGAATCACACTGCTGCCCCTGGCTTTTAGAACCGTCATGGCCCCTAGAGCAGAAACCACAGCCAGAATAGAAAGCTCTCAGAGAGAATACCCAGTAGTATGATCTCACAGGCATATAGCTCCCTCTAGGGGATGATGATGTCATAGCTGATTTATTATAAAAGGGCTGAAGCTACAGTACATAACAAGAAGGGGTGAATCTTTAATCGTATTTCCTTGATTCGTCAAGGAGAATTTCAATTATTTCCTTGATTCTGCCTTTAGCTCCTTCTCAAATCACACCAGAGGGGAAGGTCCAGAATGGAGAGGACAAGGAATCAAGGAAGGTTCATTGAGATTCAGTCCATCAGGGAAAAGAGATCCTTCAACAGGTCTTCCCACAGCACCTTTTCAAAGCTGGTTTCTTCCCAGCATCAGTACAAATGAACCTTCAAATTATAAGTTGTACAGTAGTGACTTCATGATGTGTAAATCATACCAAAATATGGACTCAAGACATTGCTGACATTTTTCCTGTGTGCTCCTCCAGTAGATATTTCCTTTGTATATTTAGGTTGCTTTAATGAGTTATTATGCTGTTACTGAGATGACCATGCTGGTGTATAGTTCAACACCAGTGTTATTTACAATAAAGAAAATATTCAGAAATGGGATATTGCTTTGTTTTCTTCCTCATCTTTTGGGATACCATTTATCCTGCGTTTTTCTGCTGAGAATATATCCTTTGTTTATGTAAACCTATCAGCCTGAGTTGAGATCTATAAACAAATACAGCAGAGGGAATGAATTAACACGTTTAACAAAGGAAATGTTTGTGGTTATGCTGACATTGAGCTCTCCCATACTGAGGTTATGTGGTGTGTGCGTGTCCTATGTGTATACAATGTGTATGTGTGTGTGATGTCCAGTCCACAATGATATGGGCGGTCTACCCTGCAGTGAATGTGATGCTCAGCCCCAAGACAGTCAAGCTGCTCTCAGTCAGGCCACTGCAGTGGGGGAGATTTATGGTGGTCAGGTCATGTGGAGGACTTGCACGGTGGACTTACAGTCACTAACCATTACAGTCACCCCGGAGTCTCACGTCACAATCCTCTGTAACATGAAAGCTGAACTGTACTGTACTGATACTGACCCTCTCCTGCAACCCAGAGTTCTGACAGACAGTATATGAAAAAGGTGTAAAACAACTGTCCAAAATCATGAATTAATCAGTATTGTTAATCATAATGAATTGCCTTTAACGCATACAACTCATTATTGTATGAAGAAGAAAAAGGAGCAAGTAAAAACCCAAGCTAACGGATAGTTTTCTGATTATCTGCTAATACAATGACTTGACTATGGCTTGTCAAATGGCTATTATACACTGTCCAAATAGCCTGACATCCCCATTGTAATTGTTTTGGTGCCAATTGCTAGTGGTTATCCCTGAACCCCATTTAAAGCATGAAAGCAAATGTCTAAAGGCTAACAAGTGCCAAACCATTCTATAAAGCATTCTATACAGCATCACAGATGGAGATAAAAAAGCTAGAAAATATATTACTGATCTATGACAATCGTTGATAGTCCAAGGCATTATTCAGAATTTATTCCATATAACTGCTGCTGTATAATCTTCATCCTCCACAGATATTTCATTATAGATCGAGTAAAAATGGATCCAGTTTGCAACATACAGTATTTCTTAAGACAGTGATTTTAATGTCAGAGAAATCACAATGTCATAAACTTGTCATTTTCACTAGAAGTTAAATACAACAGGTATTTTTTCAGAACAGAACAGGCTCGAACATATGTTACAAGTCAAAGAGCTGCAGAACAGAAACATTATTGGACTCATGTCAAATACAGATAGATATAAAAAAAATCCTTCAAACCTTGTGACACTACTTCTGGCCTAAAGCCATATTTTTTATCTTCATCTATCTGCATGATATGTACCTACAAAATTTGACTAAATTACAAATTAAATGTGGCTTCTGGTCAACTATTTATTAGTTAAAGCATGCCATCATACACACATTTCAATTATTTATTTTAGTGACGTGCCATTCGAAACATAAATTGTTTGACTTGGGTATCCACTTGGTGCCATGCTTCTCTTGTAAAGCCAACTTGATACATCTCACGATCATACAGTTTATGGTCACACTAACTTCAATAGAAGAGGAATAACTTTGTGCACTTGTGGTCTTAAAAAGATAATTTCACTCGCAGTGGGGACATTCTAGAATGAGCGTAGGCTAACTAAAAGGAATGTCCAATCTTGCTCAGTCTAAATTCTTAGAATAGTGGAGTGAGCATCATCACATGATGACTTAAAGGCCTACACAATAATTTCTAAGAGAATAAGGTTTAAGACAGTAGGGGTCAAAAGTAAGCAATCCGTGAACAATTAATTACTGTAGGTTTGTCCTTCTGGTGGTTGTGGAAGTTTCATATTCTCTTTGGACATCATTAGACGCCTTAACTCTTGAAGAACAACTTTAATGCTATAAGAAGTTTGCCATTTAGAAAGAATTGGTATGCTACGTGTATCCACCTGAGAGAGAAAGAGAGGAGAGAGGCAAATTAGTGATCATCCTTTGATGAGCACTATGCACTAGGTTTACCAAAAACATATGTACACTAATAATTCAACAACATATTTAGGCCTATATCATTTGTAAGAGCGAAAAATGTAAATGTGATATTACTTACCATCCCATTGGAATTATTTATGCCATTCATGCTAATTTTTGTTACAAATCTAACAATTGGAGGTGATTCAGGATATTTAGGACCACATTCCACTTTCAGACTGTATATCCTGTTCTCATAATTAGTCTGGAAAACAAAACACAGAAACAAACATTGCTTGGTCCGGGTAAGGGTAAAGGTGATGAGCTATGTTCGTTACTGTGCCTGTCTTGACTTAATGGTTATTTTTTTAAAGCATTTTCAACAACAACATTTTGCCAAAGCGTGGTCTTAGAACACACAACTATTACATGTCCACTTCATGGTGGAAATGGCATGGCGAGGTGCTTATGTTACAGAGGTGGTTCGGTAATCAAACCTTGAGTGCTGTGTAACCTTGCCTGAGACTTTTGTTACTTTAGCTCAGCTGGCTAACACAGTCATGTGGTGCGCAGATGTCTCTTACTTACTCCTGCTGCAGTCACACTTACTCGTGCCGGTCCGATGATCATGCCCGTCCACCGCGTTAGCGTCATATCTTCATCGTCTTCAAGGCCCCAGCTGACTGTCCCATCTCCGACACCTTTCTGACCCTCTTCAAGTTCTTCCAACAAGCGAAAATTACGTGGAACTTTAACTCCTGAAATAAAAACAAGATAAGATTTTTAAAACTAGATGAGGCAATCCTGGGGAGGGTTTGTCCATGCTACCCTCAACTGCTAAGGCCACACATTTCACAACAATACCATATCAAACTGCTGACAAGTTAAAAGCAACAAATTCTTAGAACGTACTATTTGCTTGTGGCTGAAAACAAGCAACCAACCAACTGTCACTGTCATCATCCTTTGTGCTGTATGTCACTGGAATGAATACGTTTTTCTAATGGATGATGTCAATGTAGGGTACCATTTCAACTGTACACTGATGGTAAGACATCAATCTGACCCCATGAAAGTTCATAATTAAGAGATCATCCTAACACAGTCATGAACCTTATCTATATGTAGCCTATTGAACACTGGATAATTAGTGATGATGGAACAGGACTAACCTCATCCTACATGAATCCAGAGAGGGAATGGTGAGATACAAAGATGTCTATGTGCAATTTTGAGTGGGTGTTTAAGTGTGGGTGTTGTGTTCTGGATCATTCTGCATGCCAGGGTGGAACCAGAGATATGGAACTCTGTGCTTGGCTATGAAACTAATGGCAGGCAGCCGTCATGATTGCTCAAAATCCACCACTGCAATATCAGACCTGGCAGGGGCCAAATTCCTTTATTCTTACAGGCGCAAGACAAACAGCCGACTGCGAAGGGTCATGTGTTAATAAAAAGGGTTGCATAGTAAATGTGTGATATGACGTTTCCTTCAATTAATAAGAAACTTTGGTCTGGCATGCATAATAAACTGCAGCAACTTCACGCCCCACGGCTAGTATATACTCATCTAGTTAGCTAGCTAGTACAACAGTTGCACGAGCGCTAAACTAGCTTCCCCCCTTCTTGGTGCATGTGACGCGCGTGGGAGTAGCTAGCAAACTATTATGAAAACCAGTGGTCTCTTCTAAAATAGTGCAAGTTCTATCTGTTTGCTACTAACTAGCAAGCTAATTGTAATATCTTGCAACTCTAATCCAAGTTAGCAATGCACCCGAGCTAGCTACCTTGCTAACCTTACCCAACTCCTGTACTGTAAGGTTTCTAGCTAAATGTATCAAAGATATGCTACTGGGTGGTAGGCTAGCTAAGCGTTGTCCTACTCCTAGCAAATCATTATGCCAGTGTGTGACCAACTTTGTATAGTTAATGAAAATATACATATCCCAGATAAAAATGATTTGGCTAAATTACAGAGTAACGTTAGCGAATACACCACTGAATTTAGCTAACAAACTAGCCTAGCTAGCTAACGTTAGCCACCAATCGATTGATGGCTAGCATGCAGCAAGCATTTCAGACCCCAGGTTTACCTTTTAAAAACATTGTTTTCAAGTTAACAGTACACAGTATTTTTTATATTCTGACTCAAATTCTATAAATAATACTTAAATCGTTAAATATTTCCCGGAGTGAAGCAGACAAACCTGAGGAGGCCGCCATCTTCTTCAGCCAAATCCAGAAGAACACAAAAAGTGACATAAACGAGGGGTGTGTCAGGTTAGGTATGTCTGCAGAAAACGCTCCCACCGGTTCCTTCCTCGTATTCGACTATACAACTACTAAATTATTTACAATATTTGAAGATACATGTGGCTGACAAGGTGGTCAATCGGAGGAGGTGCGCATTACACCAATTGCATAGCTACGAAATAAACTCAAGAATAATGCTTTGAATATATACACTACCTCAGCTGGTACAGCCAGAAGAGGACGGGCCACCCTTAGACTCAATTTAGGGAGTTTTTGCTTGCTCTTTTTGGTCTAGGTCGGGAAACTAACGCACAACTGCTGAAAAAGGTATTTATAAAATAAAATTGTAATACTGTATATCAATAAATCAAATTAAAAGTGCAGACTGCCTGTCACCATGGCACAACCTGTCATAGTTGTGCATTGTGGCACTGGCATGTTTGTCATCAGCATTCGTCCATGATTAGCATGAGCAAAACGGAGTCACCTTTCTCTGCTAGTCCGATGTTCATTTAAATATTATACACAAATCAATTTATAAAAAAAGGGGAAAAAAGCAACCCTCAAAACATCCCAAATGACATACAAAAGCATTTATTTATTGCTCACCATAATAACATATCAAAGCCACCACACACTAACAGGACTCACAAAGCTAGTCCTGACTTGGAGTAAACATTAACATGGTCAAACATTTTTTACATTTATTCTGTAGAGAGAGAAAGCTGTTGCTACAGGGAAATAAGTGTGAATTGAATGACTGTACAAGGACAGAAGAGCTGTGTTTCTTTACAGCAGGCGAACAGTCTTTCCAGTGACGGTCAGATAGTCTTCATCTGCCAGGGCACGCAGAGCCTCTTCAAACATGTCCTTCGTTATTGCCTGAAAAAGGTAAATAATTGGGGGGGGGGAAACACAGGGGTCAGATATACACCATATTCAGAATAAATATGTATTTTAATTGGATGGCAGGCATATCTAAATATTTTTTTAGGATTTTCCTATATAGTTAGTTCTCATCAATAGGAAAAGCAGAGCAGGTAGATACTACTTACGGCTTCAGACTGTCCTCTGAGGTCATCAAACAGTTGCTGGTATTTCATGGCAGGGGTCTTTCCCCTGGACTGGATCATTTTCTTCAGGGCCTGGGCCACTTCCTCCTTACGCTTACGGGCCGTGGCACTCATTCCTGGATTGAGTAAAAACAAGACAGGTTAATACTTGCACCATACTGGGGGGAGGGGCGTTGTAGACAAAGGCTTCCATACCAGTTGTGAGAATGGAGATGTCCACGAAGCCAGTCCTGGGGTCTGTGGCAGACTGCTTGAGGGCCTCACGGTGCAGTCTCTTGGCCTCCTCCACATCAATTGTCTCCACCTTGTCAGAGAAGCGCACCTTGGCATGGGCCTCGGCCAGTCGAATCAGAGACTCCAGCTGCCTGGGGTAGGCAGACACCATCCCCCGCCCGCTGCCAATCTTCCTCATGTCCACATATGCCTGGGAGAGAGAAAGATACCCATACAATCAATCCCATTTCTTTATAAAGCCCTTTTACACTGTTGAATGCTCCCACAGGATATTTTAGTGCAACGTTTTGATCAGAAGGTCTTTGTCTGGCCTAAACCTAGAACCAGCACATTCACAGAACTCAGGGCCGTAAAATATTTTTCTCCAGCAGCCAGTGTGGATGATGGATTACATTTTTTACTAGCCAGTCACTCAATACTTTTTTAAACCACATTTATCTGGTGGTATGGTGCTAATGTCAGGCCCTGAAGTTACATCTACATCACAACAACTTTTAATTTGGAGCATTTTATTCAAATTATATCATACTTCAATGAGTGCCTGGCTGGCTTCTTCGTTCAGTCTGGGGTTGATGTAGGTGCGAGCATATGCAATGTAGTCCTTCAGCACTGCCATGTCCAGGAACTCTTCCTCGATCTGCTCCTCGCTCTGGTAGTACAGCGCCACCAGGTGGTGAGCCAGGCGACGGTCGTACGCCTCGTCTTGAGGATCCAGCATCAGGAAGATCAGATCAAATCTGTAGGGAAGAAAATGGCATTTCGTTTTTATACACTGCTCAGAAAAATAAAGGGAACACTAAAATAACACATCCTAGATCTGAATGAATGAAATAATCTTATTAAATACTTTTTTCTTTACATAGTTGAATGTGCTGACAACAAAATCACACAAAAATTATCAATGGAAATCAAATGTATCAACCCATGGAGGTCTGGATTTGGAGTCACCCTCAAAATTAAAGTGGAAAACCACACTACAGGCTGATCCAACTTTGATGTAATGTCCTTAAAACAAGTCAAAATGAGGCTCAGTAGTGTGTTTGGCCTCCACGTGCCTGTATGACCTCCCTACAATGCCTGGGCATGCTCCTGATGAGGTGGTGGATGGTCTCCTGAGGGATCTCCTCCCAGACCTGGACTAAAGCATCCGCCAACTCCTGGACAGTCTGTGGTGCAACGTGGCGTTGGTGGATGGAGCGAGACATGATGTCCCAGATGTGCTCAATTGGATTCAGGTCTGGGGAACGGGCGGGCCAGTCCATAGCATCAATGCCTTCCTCTTGCAGGAACTGCTGACACACTCCAGCCACATGAGGTCTAGCATTGTCTTGCATTAGGAGGAACCCAGGGCCAACCGCACCAGCATATGGTCTCACAAGGGGTCTGAGGATCTCATCTCGGTACCTAATGGCAGTCAGGCTACCTCTGGCGAGCACATGGAGGGCTGTGCGGCCCCCCAAAGAAATGCCACCCCACACCATGACTGACCCACCGCCAAACCGGTCATGCTGGAGGATGTTGCAGGCAACAGAATGTTCTCCACGGCGTCTCCAGACTCTGTCACGTCTGTCACATGTGCTCAGTGTGAACCTGCTTTCATCTGTGAAGAGCACAGGGCGCCAGTGGCGAATTTGCCAATCTTGGTGTTCTCTGGCAAATGCCAAACGTCCTGCACGGTGTTGGGCTGTAAGCACAACCCCCACCTGTGGACGTTGGGCCCTCATACCACCCTCATGGAGTCTGTTTCTGACCGTTTGAGCAGACACATGTACATTTGTGGCCTGCTGGAGGTCATTTTGCAGGGCTCTGGCAGTGCTCCTCCTGCTCCTCCTTGCACAAAGGCGGAGGTAGCGGTCCTGCTGCTGGGTTGTTGCCCTCTTACGGCCTCCTCCACGTCTCCTGATGTACTGGCCTGTCTCCTGGTAGATCCTCCATGCTCTGGACACTACGCTGACAGACACAGCAAACCTTCTTGCCACAGCTCGCATTGATGTGCCATCCTGGATGAGCTGCACTACCTGAGCCACTTGTGTGGGTTGTAGACTCCGTCTCATGCTACCACTAGAGTGAAAGCACCGCCAGCATTCAAAAGTGACCAAAACATCAGCCAGGAAGCATAGGAACTGAGAAGTGGTCTGTGGTCACCACCTGCAAAACCAGTCCTTTATTGGGGGTGTCTTGCTAATTGCCTATAATTTCCACCTGTTGTCTATTCCATTTGCACAACAGCATGTGAAATGTATTGTCAATCAGTGTTGCTTCCTAAGTGGACAGTTTGATTTCATAGAAGTGTGATTGACTTGGAGTTACATTGTGTTGTTTAAGTGTTCCCTTTATTTTTTTGAGCAGTATATATATATATATGTTTAATGCCTAACATACTCAAATCTTATTGATTTACAACAGTTCATAAGAGTGTTGAGCCAGTAACCAGAAGGTCGCCAGTTTGAATCCCCGAGCTGACTAAGTGAAAAATCTGTTGATGTGCCCTTGAGTAATTGCTCCTGTAAGTCGCTGTGGATAAGAGCGTCTGCTAAATGATTAAAATGTAAATGATATGCATGTTCTGAGTGCAATATTTATTTATGCCCACAAAGTGGAGAAGACATTGTTTAGGGTTCAGTGGCCGTCAGTGAAGCGACCTAAATAAGATATTATTGACAATCAATACCATGTACCAACAACAGTGTTCAGAGCTGTTAAGCTATCAGGTAATATTTACCTTGAGAGCAGTGTGTGAGGGAGCTGGATGTTCTCGATGGTCGTCTTCTTGGGGTTCCACTGAGACTCCACGGGATTGGCTGCTGCCAGGACGGAGGTGCGCGCATTGAGCTGGCAAATAATTCCAGCCTGCACAAAGAGAAGAGCTTTGTGAGAAACTACCCTAATTAGATGTTAGCAACACCACATTCAACAGAAGCCTATACGTTTCTCAGAAGTGCATTGGTCATTAGGACTAGTCCTGAGTCTTGTGCTGAAACTTCAACATCAAACAGTCAACTTGTTTTGTCCTTTTCTAAACCCACCTTGGCGATGGAGAGAGTCTGCTGCTCCATGACCTCATGCAGCACAGAGCGTGTGCTGTCACTCATCTTGTCAAACTCATCAATACAGCATATCCCGTTATCACTGAGCACCAGGGCCCCAGTCTGCAGCACCAGCTGCTTGGTCTCTGGGTCCTTCATCACGTAGGCGGTGAGGCCCACGGCGCTGGAGCCCTTCCCAGATGTGTACTGGCCGCGGGGCACCAGGTTGAACACGTACTGCAGCAGCTGGGACTTGGAGGTACCGGGGTCTCCACAGAGCAGGATGTTTACCTCGGCACGGAAGTTACCACGGCCTGTCTGGCTGAAGTCTTTACGGGTGCCCCCGAACAGCTGGAGAAGAATACCCTGTGGAAAAGAGATAGATTATAGTCCTGGTCATGACTTAAATTAAAGTCAAATCTAAACTCAGGCAAAATTAAACAATTGCTGCTGTAAAATGCCCTGGGAAAAGAATTACAAACTTTATAGTACTGTTCATAGATGTTGAATAAAAGCAAAATCCATAATATGAAAGACTGCAGTTACACATCCCTGGCAGCAGAGGACGCCACACTGCTATGGTCATCTGAAGGGATCGATGGGACAATTGTCCTGTGGCGAGTTTCCCAAAAGCGTTGTCGCACAAACATCTTATATCCATAGCAGGCAATGTAGAAAATATAATCTTAGTGCTGCAATGTTGCTTCCTGGAAACTCATCCTTGACTGATAGTCGATAACCATCCCCACTGACCTTCTTGATGTCCTCTTGTTCGTAGATACTGGGGGCCAGGGCGGAGGAGAGACGCTCGTACACGTCTGGTTTGGCGGCCAGCTCCTTCAGTGTCTGGACGCGCTCCTCAGTGAAAAGCTTCTGGTCTGAATCCTCATCCAGCCCGTGAAGGCGCTTCTCGTCCGTCTTACGGAAGTGGATGACGTCGATGTGGGTCTTGTACACAGACTTCACGTTGCTCTGGCGAGGGTTCTCACGCATAGGCACCGCTCTGTAGATACCTGTGGTGGAGTTGAGGAGTTTAGTAATGACGATAGTCATTTTCTGTTTACCATCAAACGTCACGTTCCAGTGATGTACACGCATCCCGAACATCAAAAAGCTCTGTAGCTGGATTGCTAACGCTGATGTTGGGAGTCTCGGGACCGTGACAAACTTAACAGTGAGTGAGTGATGACCATAAAAACACGCAAGGCTGATGGCTAAAGCCATGTTCAACAAGTATATTATCCTTCTGGCTTTATCTAGCTCAATTTGGGATATTTTACCTTGCCTTGCTAGGTAATCAATCCTCTGATGACATCTGCGATGTTGTAGATGATAACCATCTAATTACGTGTTTGTTTAACTTGCACAAGCTGCATTTTATGTTGCATGTGATCGTATCCACTGCTGGGTAAACAAAGAGGTTTCTGATGACGAACTGTGCGCGCAACTTTTCATGACGGAAAATGGGTCTATAGGACCAAACTGCAATAAGGCACAGCAGCAATATGCATGACTAGGGCCAATAGTTTTTCCTGACCCGTGACCGGACCAGGAAAACTAGGCCCATGGTTATAGGCTTTAAAGGGGCAATCCGCAGTTGAATCAATAAAGTGGGCACCCCACCTCTGTTTTAGTAAAAAAGCTGAGGGATGGGCCTGGAGAAATGTAACCACTTAAAATCATAGACAGAATATTAATGCAAGGACTGACCATCCAAGATATAAAAATGATAGCTTTAAGCATACTGAGGTTATACAGTGTATACAAACACTGAAGTAAAACAAGCTTATATTTTGGTTTCTGACAGTTAAACTAAAGCTCATGAGGCACTTATAAGTTATATTCTTAAAAAATCAATGAGTATATATAATTAATTTATAAGTCCAAAAATGGGTGTAGCAACTGCGGATTGCCCCTTTAACTAGAGCACAGAGTCTTTCCTGGTCAGGTCACATTGAAAGTTAAAACTCCTAGCCCTTCATAGCCTGTGTGACCATGTCACCAACAGCAAAGCTATACATCCATCGATTCACAGCAATTTCTTCTGCGGGTCAAACAGCTCACCAGTGATGTTGATGCGGTCTCCTGGCTGTACTTTGTCGACCAGGTCGTTGTGAGCATACACTATGGTGGTGTGAGGGGTCTGCCCAGCAGGCATGTCATCAGGAGACTCCTGAACTTTGATCTGAAAAAGAGAGAGGAGAAAATTAATCAGAGTGAGAAAACAGGAGCTCTGCTTCTTTAGAGGTGTGGCTGGGAATACACACGTATTTTATTTGTGTACGAACCCAGGAAGATAAGCTCCAATGGGTATCTAAACTAAACCACTATCTCATCAGTTCTGTTCAACAGCATCCAAGAAAATGATATCTTCTTTTGAAAGTAAGCAGACTGTCATACAGTATAAAGACATCCCCCATGCCCTCTCCCTGGTAGAGGTCTTCACGTATCCACCTGTACCCAAATATCTAGCGGGCCCGGATCAAGAATTCTAAATAATGTCACAGGTCTGGGTTGTATCTGATTGTCACGTGTACGTGTCATTTTAACTGGCTTGTCTGGATGGACCTGTACAGAGCCGAACGAGACTGCTGAAGTAGAGAGAGTTTGTATCATTTATGCTCCTGCTCTTGCTTTTCACAAGAGTGGCGCGTGTACCTTGTTGTTGGCCAATCATAAGTCGTCAAAGCGGCAATAGGCTAGTCATACAGCCTCTGTTTGTGGTAAAAGTTAGGAGATATCTAATCAATGGAAGATGGAATTAAAATGACGGAGTTCAAAGTTAAAAGGAAGAAGGATAGGCTACAACGACCAAGGGCCAACAGGCAGGCTGCTACTTTATATTTTCAATGGAGTTGTTATTGTGTAGGATGAGAAAGCGCATGGCTCGATTAGCCTAGCTAGCTTAACTAGCTTCTCCTGGTTTGATGCAGTAAAGACAGGTAATACATAATCATATTGGCCGGCAGGGATGTAGCTCAGTTGGTAGAGCATGGCGTTTGCAACGCCAGGGTTGTGGGTTCGATTCCCACGGGGGGCCAGTATAAAAAATCAAATAAAAATAATAATATAATGTATGCACTCACTAACTGTAAGTCGCTCTGGATAAGAGCGTCTGCTAAATTACTAAAATGTAAATGTAAATAAATAACCTAGCTATGGCAGCTATTAGTCTACTACAGTGGCTTGCAAAAGTATTCACCCCCCTTGGCATTTTTCCTATTTTGTTGCCTTACAACCTGGAATTAAAATGGATTTGTTTGCATCGTTTGATTTACACCACATGCCTACCACTTTGAAGATGCAAAATATTTTTTCTTGTGAAACAAACAAGAAATAAGACAAAAAAACAGAAAACTTGAGCGTGCATAACTATATAAGTTATTTTTTTCATTCCACTTCACCAATTTGGACTATTTTATGTATGTCCATTACATGAAATCCAAATAAAAATCCATTTAAATTACAGGTGGCAATGCAACAAAATAGGAAGAACGGCCAAGGGGATGAATACTTTTGCAAGGCACTGTATAGCACGAGTCGACTTGGTTGGTTGCAGTCTCTCCCTCCCTCCTCACTGGGTCACTTGCTCACACTCACAGTAGCCTACACACACAGCATGGCCCCTGCTAGAGCGTCACTTCTCTCTACCTCCTCTCACACTCACAGTAGCCTACACACACAGCATGGCCCCTGCTAGAGCGTCACTTCTCTCTACCTCCTCTCACACTCACAGTAGCCTACACACACAGCATGGCCCCTGCTAGAGCGTCACTTCTCTCTACCTCCTCTCACACTCACAGTAGCCTACACACACAGCATGGCCCCTGCTAGAGCGTCACTTCTCTCTACCTCCTCTCACACTCACAGTAGCCTACACACACAGCATGGCCCCTGCTAGAGCGTCACTTCTCTCTACCTCCTCTCACACTCACAGTAGCCTACACACACAGCATGGCCCCTGCTAGAGCGTCACTTCTCTCTACCTCCTCTCACACTCACAGTAGCCTACACACACAGCATGGCCCCTGCTAGAGCGTCACTTCTCTCTACCTCTCCCTCACGCTTTATCAGCTCCGGTTAATAAAGTAGCTTAAAAATTTGACTTTGCTGCTTCCCTCACTCGGATCAGACCTGGATCCGACCAGGTCTATACGGAACGGGTCTAGTTGTCCTCGGGTCCGTATATTTAAATGTATTGGTGTCTTGTACTACTATAAAAAACAACTTCTGGTGCCTTCTACCTCTCCCCATAGCTCACCATCTGTTTGTCGGAGAAGGCCGAGCGGTTGTGGATGAGGGCCAGGCTGTGGGTGGTGTTACAGTTGCGGCACACTGCGGGTTCTGCTATGCGGCCACGGTCCACCTCCACGCGGGTAGAGAAGGCACACACCTGGCACTGGAAGAAGGCCTCCTGCATCTCTGGGATCAGCTGGGAGGTCCTGATCACCATGCCGCTGATAGTGATCATCTGATCAATGTCTGGGAGGAGAGGCAGCGAGGCAAGATTAGTTTTTAATACAATCAGTAAGCACCAGACCTGGGTTCAAATAGATCTTGTTTTTGTTTCAAACATTTTATAGTTGTACTTGATTGAGCTTGCCCAGAGCAATGGAACCAATGGAATAGTACCAAAAGTGCAAACCATCTGGCACTCTAGGCTGCAGGCTCAAATGCTCGAAATTGAAAGAAAACAAATACATGATTCACTCTTCATATGGTTGTGCAATAGATCTGCATGGGTTGTTCAGGGAATCTAGACATCCATAATATGACATGACCTAGACCAGGGGTCTCCAACAGGTAGATCTTGAGCTCCCGGCTACTATCCAATCAAAGCCACATTGACATTATCCCACCCCTGGTTAGCCACTGTTGGTTAAAAAGCCAAACGTAACAACATCTGCCAATTAATTTCCAGCAATATTGCCAATCTGTCTGTCTGTTTGGTGAACGCGTTTGTCTATCACTCTACATGTAACCAGTTAGTGATGATAACAGTCTTGTGGGTAGACAGAAAGACACTCTCCAAAAACCTTCTCAATTAAATGACATAACTACAGTGCATTCGGAAAGTATTCAGACCCCTTGACTTTTTCCACATTTTGTTACAGCCTTATTCTAAAATGGATTAAATTGTTTTTTTTCCCCACTCATCAATCTACACACACAATACCCCATAATGACAAAGCAAAACCAGGTATTTAGAAATTATTGCAAATGTATATTTAAAAAAATTGAAGTTGAAGTATTCAGACCCTTTACTCAGTACTTTGTTGAAGCGCCTTTGGCAGAGATTACAGCCTTCTTGGGTATGACGCTACAAGCTTTGCACACCTGTATTTGGGGAGTTTCTCCCATTCTTCTCTGCAGATCCTCTCAAGGTTGGATGGGGAGCATCACTGCACAGCTATTTTCAGGTCTCTCCAGAGATGTTCGATCAGGTTCAAGTCCGGGCTCTGGCTGGGTCACTCAGGGACATTCAGAGACTTGTCCCGAAGCCACTCCTGCGTTGTCTTGGCTGTGTGCTTAGGGTCATTGTCCTGTTGGAAGGTGAACCGTCGCCCCAGTCGGAGGTCCCACTCTGGAGCAGATTTTCATCAAGGATCTCTCGGTACTTAGCTCAGTTCATCTTTCCCTCGATCCTGACTAGTCTCCCAGTCTCTGCTGCTGAAAATCATCCCCACAGCATGATGCTGCCACCACCATGCTTCACCGTAGAGTTGCCTCCAGACGTGGCGGCGCTTCCAGACGTGGCGCTTGGCATTCAGGCCAAAGAGTTCAATCTTGGTTTCATCAGACCAGAGAATCTTGTTTCTCATGGTCTGAGAGTCTTTAGGTGCCTTTTGGCAAACTCCAAGCGGGCTGTCATGTGCCTTTTACTGAGGAGTGGCTTCCGTCTGGCCACTCTACCATAAAGGTCTGATTGGTGGAGTGCTGCACAGATGGTTGTCCTTCTGGAAGGTTCTCCCATCTCCACAGAGCAACTCTGGAGTTCAGTCAGAGTGACCATCAGGTTCTTGGTCACCTCCCTGACTAAGGCCCTTCTCCCCCGATTGCTCACTTTGGCCGAGCGGCCAGCTCTAGAGTCTTGGTGGTTCTAAACTTCTTCCATTTAAGAATGATGGAGGCCACTGTATCCTTGGGGACCTTCAATGCTGCAGACATGTTTTGGTATCCTTCCCTAGAGCTGTGCCCTGACACAAGCCTGTCTCGGAGTTCTACGGACAATTCCTTCCACCTCATGGCTTGCAAAGCCAGGGTTGTGGGTTCGATTCCCACGGGGGGCCAGTATGAAAAATGTATGCACTCACTAACTGTAAGTCGCTCTGGATAAGAGCGTCTGCTAAATGACTAAAATATAAATGTAAAATGTTTTTGCTCTGACATGCACTGTCAACTGTGGGACCTTATATAGACAGGTGTGTGCCTTTCCAAATCATGTCCAATCAATTGAATTTACCACAGGTGGACTCCAATCAAGTTGTAGAAACATCTCAAGAGTGATCAATGGAAACAGGATGCACCCGAACTCAATTTCAAATCTCATAGCAAAGGGTCGGAATACGGTAAATAAGGTTTTTTGTTTTTGTTTTTTGTAATGTGCAAAAAAATCTAAAAACCTGTTTTTGCTTTGTCATTATGTGGTATTGTGTGTAGATGATCAAATTTTTTTAAATTCAATTTTAGAATACGGCTGTAACATAACAAAATGTGGAAAAAGTCAAGAGGTCTGAATACCTTCCAAATGCACTGTACATCATGATTATTTGTATTAATTGTGTGGCAATTGTTTTGCAAACTCTGCCATGACGTGCTGCAGCAGTAGGCCTAACAGCAGAAACATCGCTAGACTACCACATTAGTCTCTTGCTAGATGCGCAATTAAAGGGCAATTACACTCAAATCTACAAATGTTTTCCTTTTTCTTCCTAGTCCTCAAATTGTCTTCTGTGATTTTAGCTCAGAACATCAATTTTCGTTGTTTGTCTATGAATAATTGTAATATTGAGAGTAAAAAACAGAAGAAAAACAATCATAAACCAGGAAAGAAAATACATCTAATTTTATGGGCCCCACTTAAAAAGTAGTTTATTACCATTATTATACCAGCTATATTGACAGAAAACACACCTCTTGTACACCAATGACCCAGGGAAGAGTTGCAGGGTAGAGGAGAAGAATGTGCCTATTTGAAAGCTATAAAAAATATATGCAGTAGCTCACGATATGTTTCATTTTTTAAAGAAGCTCTCATGCAAAAAAAAAGGTTGGAGACCCCTGGTCTAGACTCTTACCTTCAGGGTTCAGGCTCCTCATGTTCCTGGTCTTCAGGGCGTTGTATGGCCGCACCTGGATCTGGTGTTCCAAGATGGAGTCTGGGAAACGTTCGAAGAACAGCTCATTGACTGCCATGTCAAATGTAGGTATGACTTCCTGCGATAGAGATATAGGAGAAACGTTATGAATCACCATTTTTATTGGTATGCCCACATCATTAAACATATTGTATCTCTATGGGTAGGCCCATGGTAATAAATTGCAGACAAAAATGTTGCAGATAAATATTACAGAAAACCGCCTGTGCTTGCCGTCACAATTTGATTTAATACGGTCATAAGCGAACATGTTTTAACTTCGCATTCATAGCTCACTATCCTCCATCAATATTAATGTTGGAGACCGTCTGGCACGTGTATGCGTGTGTATTTACCTGGGGGTAGGAGATGAGCTGCCTGTACAGGTCTGCATCAAAGGACTGCACATGGCTGCAGTTGACATTCAGCACAGGCTCACCAATCACACTGATCTAGAGGGACGACAGAAATGATTAGCAAAATGTTGAATTGCTAGTCTCAAGAATACCTCAAGAACATCAAATAGAAGAAATCCAGCAAAGGACTAGAAGTAAATGCTTGATCACTGTTCTTGGTGTCACACAGATGGGAGACCCTACCTCCTCCAGCTTCTGCATGTAGAGAGGCTCATTCAAGTCCAAACCAGCATTCTCATCCTCATTAGAAGTGGGGTCAATGAACCTCTGCAGGAATCGCTGTAGGAAAATGAACAACAGAAGCATTCAGATAACTTTATCTTCTATAGATCTAACAATAGATTTAACTAAACTTTTCTTTATCAATTACATCTTATTTATTTTTCTACACCAATGAAAGCACAGGCTTAACTTCCATACCTGAAACTTCTCCTTGCACGTTCCCACATTGACATCAGTGCCCCAGATAACCAACTTCTGTCCCGCTGCCTGCTCACTGGCTACTGCACCATCTGCACTTGGCTGGTGGAGTAGAAAATGTCCTAAACTGTTAGAGATTTGCTAACGGTATCATTCAATATCTAAATAGCATTAGCTATTACAGATTTGCTAATGGTATCATTCTACAGTGGGGAAAAAAAGTATTTAGTCAGCCACCAATTGTGCAAGTTCTCACACTTAAAAAGATGAGAGAGGCCTGTAATTTTCATCATAGGTACACGTCAACTATGACAGACAAAATGAGGAAAAAATTTCCAGAAAATCACATTGTAGGATTTTTTATGAATTTATTTGCAAATTATGGTGGAAAATAAGTATTTGGTCAATAACAAAAGTTTCTCAATACTTTGTTATATACCCTTTGTTGGCAATGACACAGGTCAAACGTTTTCTGTAAGTCTTCACAAGGTTTTCAAACACTGTTGCTGGTATTTTGGCCCATTCCTCCATGCAGATCTCCTCTAGAGCAGTGATGTTTTGGGGCTGTCGCTGGGCAACACAGACTTTCAACTCCCTCCAAATATGTTCTATGGGGTTGAGATCTGGAGACTGGCTAGGCCACTCCAGGACCTTGAAATGCTTCTTACGAAACCACTCCTTCGCCCGGGCGGTGTGTCTGGGATCATTGTCATGCTGAAAGACCCAGCCACGTTTCATCTTCAATGCCCTTGCTGATGGAAGGAGGTTTTCACTCAAAATCTCACGATACATGGCCCCATTCATTCTTTCCTTTACACGGATCAGTCGTCCTGGTCCCTTTGCAGAAAAACAGCCCCAAAGCATGATGTTTCCACCCCCATGCTTCACAGTAGGTATGGTGTTCTTTGGATGCAACTCAGCATTCTTTGTCCTCCAAACACGACGAGTTGAGTTTTTACCAAAAAGTTTCATCTGACCATATGACATTCTCCCAATCCTCTTCTGGATCATCCAAATGCACTCTAGCAAACTTCAGACGGGCCTGGACATGTACTGGCTTAAGCAGGGGGACACGTCTGGCACTGCAGGATTTGAGACCCTGGCGGCGTAGTGTGTTACTGATGGTAGGCTTTGTTACTTTGGTCCCAGCTCTCTGCAGGTCATTCACTAGGTCCCCCCGTGTGGTTCTGGGATTTTTGCTCACCGTTCTTGTGATCATTTTGACCCCACGGGGTGAGATCTTGCGTGGAGCCCCAGATCGAGGGAGATTATCAGTGGTCTTGTATGTCTTCCATTTCCTAATAATTGCTCCCACAGTTGATTTCTTCAAACCAAGCTGCTTACCTATTGCAGATTCAGTCTTCCCAGCCTGGTGCAGGTCTACAATTTTGTTTCTGGTGTCCTTTGACAGCTCTTTGGTCTTGGCCATAGTGGAGTTTGAAGTGTGACTGTTTGAGGTTGTGGACAGGTGTCTTTTATACTGATAACAAGTTCAAACAGGTGCCATTAATGCAGGTAACGAGTGGAGGACAGAGGAGCCTCTTAAAGAAGAAGTTACAGGTCTGTGAGAGCCAGAAATCTTGCTTGTTTGTAGGTGACCAAATACTTATTTTCCACCATAATTTGCAAATAAATTCATTAAAAATCATACAATGTGATTTTCTGGATTTTTTTCCCTCATTTTGTCTGTCATAGTTGACGTGTACCTATGATGAAAATTACAGGCCTCTCTCATCTTTTTAAGTGGGAGAAATTGCACAATTGGTGGCTGACTAAATACTTATTTCCCCCACTGTATATCAATCTAGCATTAGCAGTTATAGATTTCCTGACTATCATTCTCCATATAGGAGTGTTTCCCTACTCACCGGCTCGGAGAGGAGGTCCACCTGGGGGGCCTTCCTGACGGAGCCCAGGTCAGGGCGCTGTCTGACTGGGGTGCCACGCACGCCACTGCGGGGGGTCCCCTCCACCCTGGAGCTAGGGGTCCCATACATCAGAGGGGAGCTCATGTCCACCTCACTGGGGAGAACTGGGGAGAAGAGGATAGGACATTGACATGACATTCAGAGTGATATCACAGTCAGCATCTCAGTTCATTTGTTTTTTTGCAGTTGTGCTGCACAAATGATCTGGGCCTGTATCCACAAAGCATCTCAGAGTAGAAGTGCTGATCTAGGATCTGTCCATATAATCATTTTCATTATGACCTAAAAGACTAAACTGATCCTAGATCAGCACTCCTATTCTGAGACGCTTTGTGGATACGGGCCCAGATGTCACAAAGCCTGGAGAAGTGTTTGTGTACCAGAAATGGCCATTTTTGCAACTACAAAAAGGACTATCTCAAATAGCATCCAGCAGCATTCTGTGTGTCAATGATGGTGAGGCGGTTACCTGAGCGACGTGGGCTGGAGAACAGAGAGGTGTCATGGACTGCAGGGCTGGCAATATCTGTGGCTGGAGATGTGGGCATGGCTGGCAGATCCCCGTTGGATGAGTCCTGACCTCGTCGCCGCTGGGAAGGAGGAGAGACCAGGCCATCACTGCTTGCTACAGAGACAGAAAAAATACATATATCCGAGTCAACAAATCAACATAATCACTGTAAATATGGGTTATGGGACTCAGATAACGTTTCTGTACAACTTACGAGTGGCTGGAATGTTGTCCCTGCTGCGCTTGCTTCCACCGGGAGTTGATGTTGGTGAAGACATCCTGAATGATCACAGGTCCTAGAAATTAAATCTGGTTGATTAGCTAGAACAGTCAACAAAAACAAAAAGTTAAATACATACATGCGTCATTGACTCGTACAATAACATTATGCAACCAGCATGTAACATAGCTGAGTTGAGCTACAGTTAGCTAATAATAACAACGCCAGGCTAGTTATTGGTACTTGCATCTTTTTGACATGTGCAATGAAAGTGAAACAATGCATCCTACCCAGCTAGCTAACGTTAGCTAGCTAGCTAGCTAGCTGGGTAGTTGACTAGAAACTTCCGAAAAACGTGTAAACTATAAAGAAAATATTTATTCTAAATCCTTAACTAGTTACTTCCTCTAAATACAGCATCATCATCCTAATCATGTTTAATTAAATACCATAATAGCTGGCATGTTCAAGACAACTGTAAACAGTAACGATAACTAGCTAGTAACGTTATAGAGTGCAAGACTGAGACACTCAGCCGAGGAAACCCAGTATAGTACTGAGCGATTTTACTTTAAGTCCCAAACACATATAGGTAATCTGAATTCGCTTTAATAACATAAAAGATTCAATACGAAATGACCCATGTAGTTAATTTAACTTTTGATACTTTAGAAATATCTTACAATTACTTTTCTTACCTTCTGTAGGATGTAGCTTTGTCGTGCCGCTGCAATGAATTTGGCGCGAAATTGTGGTTAGTACGTAATATTCCCGGGAAAATTTGCACCAATAGCAAAGCAAAACTATTGAGCGCTAACCATTAGCAGTTGCACATCGAGGGGGCTCAGGTGTTAATGTCTTAGATCAGTAAATACGGTTGTTAACATTTTTCATGAAGTAAATGAATAATTGTATTTGTTGTAGAATTTAATTATTATTTTCAAGACTAGACCCATTATTTTCATTGTAATAACTGTGTGTGTACCTAAAATGGCTGGGTAATCACACCCATTCTGATTTCGTTTCGCCCTACATATTTCCCACTCAGGGGCCATAGTGTCAATTTTTGCCAGAAGGTTGCATATGTGCCATGAGAAATGTCTACGTTTTCTGAATATCATCGCTGGAAAAAGACAGAATGCATATCCGTAGTTTTTCATGGGAATGACATGAAACATACATTCTGGGAACACATCAAACATGCAGAATTGCTCTTATAAGTAATTACTTTGCATTCCCTGCTATATAGTAATATATCAAATGAATAACAATTATAATTTCCAGGGCCATCATGGACATTGAATTTCATTCCCGTAGACAACTGCGTATTTTGAACAGCAATTGTTTAACACCAAATTTGTGAATACAAATATACTGAACAAAAATATAAACGCAACATGCAACAATTTCAAAGATTTTTTACAGTTCATATGAGGAAATCAGTCAATTGAAATAAAATAATTCGGCCCTAATCTATGGATTTCACTTGACTGGGCAGGGGTGCAGCCATGGGTGGGCCTTGGAGAGCATAGATCCACACACTTGGGAGCCAAGCCGACCCACTAGGGGTCCAAATATAATCCAAAAGTAGTGTGAAATGCACTCATAAGCAACATGTAAATAGATGTTTTTTCTGCTGGCGTTCTATAAAAACTCCCCCGTGTTCTGCCACCAATTTGCTCGCATCGCCCTCGTGCGGCAATGTTTGCAAACACAGAAAGGGTCTATAAACTCTGGCTTGGTAAACACTCGTAGTAAAGAGGCGACCACGTGATTCAAACTCGACTCTACTGGTTTGTCAAAGGGGGAGTTAAACCTTTGACGTAAGCAGGGGAAAGATACAAAATACACTCCGCGAAATACAGACGCTTCAGAGAAGTTAGATACAGATCATAACCTACAGTGACTATACAGCCACTATTTTAGGATAAACCTAAACACCACTTGAAAGAAGCAACGGTGTGGAAAAGGAAGATAAGCTCCAGTAATACAGAGTGAGCGTGATACATTGTTGCATTGTATCAAGCTTGTTACAACTACCTGGCTACTAACGAAATCTATTGACGTCTGATCCCACGACGGCAGAAAGCAGAGTCCATGTGCGACATATACAGCCTGGATTATCAGTGCTTGTCTCCACAATGCAACATGAGTTGGGCGGTGGAGCCTACCAACTTCTACGACAACAATCAGCTGTGCAGCGGTCTCCAGGGGGTCTGCAAACCAGGTAGAGGTGATCATGCCACGGGCGAGGAAAGCACCATGGCCAAGCTAAGTACAGCCCCTGCAATGTACGACGACGAGAGTGCCATCGACTTCAGCTCCTACATCGAGTCGATGACAGCAGTGCCACATCTGGAACTCTGCAACGATGAACTTTTCCTTGACTTATTCAACACTGTGAAGCAAGAAAAGACCGACTTATGCATGCCAGCCTCGACTACGTCGTCCAGCAACATGCAACATATGTCAAGTTGTTCAACCAACGCATACGCACTTGGAAGCCAAAAAGAGTTCGAGAGGAAGCTCAAGGGGGGATTTGAGAAGGGGGGCATCAGCGCACCGATCAAGCAGGAATCGGACTGGAGCGAGAGTGACATGTCCTCGTCGTTACCTTCCCAGATAGAAACCTGCGAAAAGACCTCCGTGAGCCGTCTCATGGGACAACCAACTCCGCCAACAACCCCAGAGCCCCTCTCAAGCCACTCCAGTGTCAGCTCAGCCCAGTCTTCCCCTCGGAAGGTCGGCAAGGTCAGAGGGAAAAATAATGTTGACAGGTACAGTCATGAGTACCACCAGAGACGCGAGAGGAATAACGTTGCTGTGAGGAAAAGCAGGGACAAGGCAAAGCAACGCAACGTGGAAATGCAGCAAAAGATGCTTGAACTGGGTTCAGAGAATGACAGATTACACAAAACCATCGATCAGCTAAACCGTGAGCTCACTGGGCTGAGGGATTTCTTCAAGCAGCTTCCCAATCACAACTCCTCGTTTGTGGGGACCACGGGTGGGGACAGCCGGTGACAAATTGTCACTTTCTAATGAACTGAACTGAACTTTTGAAATACATACCTCAACACACTTTTATTACCATCTGTGTAACAGATGCATTACAAACAAGCTTACATTTATGGCACTGGAAATGTACTGGAAACCGGATGCCTACCCCCATATTGCTGCCGTAATCTTTTTTGGGAAAAATGTTTTTGTATATTAAATTATTTTACCACTTCATTTACATATTGTTATAGCAGATATGATACGTTTCATAATTCCAAACTTTGTATAAGACCCAGAGCATGCTCGAATTTTTATATAGTTTGTATAAAAAAAAAACGTGAAATATGTCTATATGGAATCTCTAATAAAAGTGCTGAAAAGTCATACAAATCAACTGGTCTATGTGTGTGTTTGGGATGCAGAGATTATTAGTACACATCAGTGATTATAAATGACTTGGCATGGTTAAAGTGGGTTTTATGTGGATCTGGTGGTGCCAAGAATCTACCTCAGTTGGAGTTGGGCCACATCTGTAGAATGATATTTTCACAGCTATTTGAATAAAGTACAGAAAAAGGATAAAACAAATAACTATATATACACTTTAACATAATACAATGTTTATTGACTGAGTATAAGCACCATTCATCTTCAGAGATATATTAGGAGGTAGATATTCTAGGAAACACAGAGAAACGTGTGGCTATTTACAGCAAACAGGCATATTTTACAGTCACCAGTTGGACCCACGTGGGCCAAGTTTGACATATGTTGCTCCTCTGGTCTGTCAGTTCTAACCTTGTGCTATCACGTCCTGGGTCCTAACGTATCAGTAACACACAAACAGATCAATTTTTTCACAGATTATTCACATTCTGTACAGAGAGAGCCTGTGGGGCAGGGGCCAGGCTGGTCTGGGCTGAGGAGGCCTCCGTCTTACAGATTGATTTAATGGGGTCCCACTCCTCACTTTGACAGCCTCAGAGGCAGATGTCTTCCAGGCCGACGCACAGGGCAGGTTTCCTGGTGATCACACAGACGTATGCGATGAGGGGGCCTACCTCCCTCCCCAACACATTCTCCACCTCGTAACCTGGAAACTCCAGCACATGGGCAATCAAAACCTAACCATGGATCTATAGTTAGGCTATGGTCTTACATACAAGTTAGACATGCTCAATGAGAACAAAAGTTGGGGCTAAGCTAACCATCAAATGTCAATGTTACTCTTATCATATAGTTTCTGACGACAAAACACAGTATTGTTATTATTAGATTGGCGGGGGGAAAACACCCAATGCAAAAATTCAATACACAATATATGTATTGGGTACTGTATGTGGTGCTGATCCACTTCAGTTAACCTGGATTATTGGGTTGCCCTGATTCTCAATAATGGATGTAAGCCAAGAATATACCAAGAATGCTGGATGGTATTTGATGGTCAGAGCCATACATTTAGATATATGGCTTTGATGGTGGTATGTGGTGATACTGGTGGTTGTATATTAGAACGCAATATAGATCCAACTTCAGCGACACTATTATCATGTGGCTTCTCTTACAGTATTGATCTGTGTGAGTGAGTCAGGCCATTGTTCTAAACAGATCGCTTATCACAGTCTAACTATGGGATATTGGACAGATGACAATGATGTCACTGTGTCAGCAAACATACTGAGTCTGTTCTGACACATGGGAGGATCCAGATGCTGTACAGGTGCACTTACCCACACTTAACTGAAAGATAAGCACTGTCTACATCAATAAAAGGAAGGTAATGTACCGTATATTACATAACAGGTGAGCGAGAGAAAACTCACCTCATGGCCAGAGGCTGCAGAGTTCAACACAGACTTGATGGTGCTCTGCTGGAACTAGAAAACAGCAGAGAGAGATGATAATCGCCATACTAGGTATTTGAATGGTCTGTACTGGACCATCAAACTACAGTTCTTCATATATTACAGCACATGCATTATAAGAATGTTATAAGATATTATAAGCATGGACTTTATTTCAGAGCGTTTTTCAACAGTTTCACATTCCCATAACGATATGATCGAAGACTTTATTTGACAGCGACACTGTAAGAAAATACAGAAGTATGAGGATACCCTTCAAGTAATAAGATGTTTTGAGCTCACACCTTGATTAAGATTAGATTTGATCAACCTTCCCTTTCTGCTACTATATGCTTATACACTGCTATCACACATTGAAATACAGACATTTGCCGATACACATTCACATAACTAAAACTCTAAATCCCAGACTCTCACCAGCGAATCACAAGCCACACCATGGAATGCTTGACTGGAGACAACACAGACATAAGGTGTTATAATGCAGATGACTTCAAATTTCAACCATAATACCGAAGTTCCCTCTGGGAAAAATTAAGTTATTATATTCTATTATATTGGTAAACCAATAAGATTTAATCAGTTTATTAGGCTTATCCACAATAGCTCATCAGCAGGTGCATTGAAGACACAGCCTTTGGGGTGCCATCTCCAAGCGGTCGCTCCCACACAAGCTGCAGACTGGCCAGGAGTAGGCCGTGTCTTCATCCACACCAACTATCACACCCTGCAAACACCAACAAAACCATCAGCACCAGCCAGAGAAACAAACCACTACAGGACACCACACTGACTAACCTGGCTCACATAGGCAAGGAACATGGGCGGAAACTGAGACTTAGTGGTGTAAACATCTTATCAATATTCCACAGTGGTTTGGCTTAAAAACTAAAGATATAACAAGCTCTATAAGGAAATACATGTTTTATTCTTATCTGTGAGATGATCTGGATAGCAAGCGTTTACTCCCTTAACCGAACTGACACAATTTCAGTTAACGACCCGAGATGTGGCCCAACACACACAAACACTCGTACACACACGCACACCACCTTATGTAAGTTACAGTGCCTTCAGAAAGTATTTTCCCTAAAGAATTTGTCTTAGAGCCTCAATTTAAAATGGATTAAATTGAGATTTTGTATCACTGGCCTACACACAATACCCCATAATGTGAAAGTGGAATTATGTTTTTAGAAAATTGTACAAATTATTTAAAAATGAAAAGCTGAAATGTCTTGATTCAATAAGTATTCAACCCCTTTGTTATGGCAAGCCCAAATACGTTCAGGAGTAAAAATGTGCTTAACAAGTCACATAATAAGTTGCATGGGTTCACTCTGTGTGCAATAGTAGTGTTTAACATGATTTCTTGAATGACTACCTCATCTCTGTACCCCACACATACAATTATCTGTAAGGTCCCTCAGTCGAGCAGTGAATTTCAAACAGATTCAACATAAGACCAGGGAGGATATCCAATGCCTCACAAAGAAGGGCACCTATTGGTAGATGGGTAAAAACAAAAAAAAGCAGACATTGAATATCCCTTAGAGCATGGTGAAGTTATTAATTACACTTTGGATGGTGTATCAATACCCTAGTCACTACAAAGATACAGGCGTCCTTCCTAACTCAGTTGCTGGAGAGGAAGGAAATCATTCAGGGATTTCACCATGAGATCAATGGTGACTTTAAAACAGTTACAGAGTTTAATGGCTGTGATAGGAGAAAACTGAGGATGGATCAACATCATTGTAGTTACTCCACAATACTAACCTGAATGACAGAGTGAAAAGAAGGAAGCCTGTACAGAATACAAATTATATACACTGGAGTTGCTTACCAAGACGACACTGAATGTTCCCGAGTGGCCTAGTTACAGTTTTGACTTAAATCTGCTTGAAAATCTATGGCAAGACTTGAAAATGGCTGTCTAGTAATGATCGACAACCAACTTGACAGAGTTTGAAGAATTATAAAAATAATAATGTGCAAATATTGTACAATCTAGGTGTGCAAAGCTCTTAGAGATTTACCCAGAAAGACTCAGAGCTGTAATAGCTGCCAAAGGTGATTCTAACATGTATTGACTCGGGGGTGTGAATACTTATGTAAATGGTAATAATACTGCATTTCATTTTCAATAAATTTGCAAACAATTCTTACAAACATGTTTTCATTTTGTCATTATGGGGTATTGTGTTGAGATGGGTGAAAAACAAATCAATTTAATCAATTTTGAATTCAGCCTGTAACACAACAAAATGTGGAATAAGTCAAGGGATATGAATACTTTCTGAGGGCACCGTAGATCATTTCCAACTTGATTAAAAAAAACTCTGAGCCTTCCCACAGAGCCAGGCAAGCTGCCAGAAGTTAGAAGTTACTTACGAGTGTAGATAAAGATATATTATACCCTATTCAATACTACAGAGCCAAGCAGAGCTGTACCGTGCTGGCCTGGTTACCATAGTGGCTGGAACCGTGCAAGAAAGGAACATTTGAAGAAGCAAAAAACGATCTGAGCCAGGACAGCATGGTTCGGGTTGGTGTAAATGTGCGATTCAGGCATTGGTGTTTGTTGTATTATTCAGCCAGCTGATCAAACATGGAAGACCAGTGAGGGAGTCCTGAACTAATCCAGAGGGTTCACAGTTTCACCTTTGATCTCTCCTGTGACACAGGATGTTAACAGATGCTTCTTATCGTGATTTACTCAACTTTCCCTACATTTGCATTTAAAATAGACTGTAGTGTAGACAGACAGTGAATGGATTTTGTGCCAGTATCTTAAGGGCTTAAGTTATTCTGTAGTTTGATTTGATCACTTAAAGGAAAACTCCACCCAAAAACTATCTTTTGGTATTTGTTTCATCAGTCCATTGTTGATATAGTCCCAAAATGTTTTGCATGTCAGCATTCACATTTTCAAGATATGTAACTGTCAAAATACAGAAATCTGGCATCATCACATGATGCAAAATGCATCATACAGGCCAGATTTGAAAACTTGATTGATGACATACAAAACATTTTGGGACTATATCAACAATGGACTAATGAAACAAACACCAAAATATAGTTTTTGGGTGGAGTTTTCTTTTAATCAGATTAATATCAGCATCATTGGAAGGGTGTCTATTATCTCTTAATTAC